GGGGTTTGGGTTTGGTCATTATTTTGGTAGTTTGGATTTTTAAAGTCTACACAGGTAGCACTTTAGAACTGTTAACAAATTGAAATTTTAGAAAAAAAAAAAAATCTAATTATTCAAGCACCAAAAGTATAGGGGCTTGACCTGGAAACTTTTTAGGCCACACAAGTAACCTTTCTCACAAGAGTAATCAGCAAGACTACTCATGCAAACCAAGTTATTCACATGGTAAATGTCTGCAGAATCAGACTCCAAATTAGCATTTTAGGGACATACTGCTTCCTCAATGGATTATTCACAAATACAGGAAGAAAAAGGTGAGCAGTTTTGAAACTATTGCTGYAAATTCTTCCTATTCTGACTTTTTTCCATGTCATAGTTTTAGCATGGTAACAGCTGGAATCACAACTTATAGACTTAAACAAAATATTAGGAAGAATTATGGTTGAAAAGTTTTCCTATCAGCCAAGTTTTTTTTTTTTATAAATGAAGAGGTAATTGCTCTTCTCTGCAAACAAGTGAAGAGTATATTTAGCCTTCAAAACCTGATGACCCCATATTTCTGGAGTACAAAGAATTGTAAAAAAACTTTAGATTTAAAGATCTACTAGCTTCTAATAGAACTATTTCAATAGTCTATGGCAGCTGTCATCCACAAAATTTTATACTTCCCTCCAGATGACGATAACTGGAACATTTTGAGCAGTATTTGTAGCACCAGAGAATGAGGTGAACTTAGGGATAACAATGGCCTGCACTTCTTAGAAATTATTTTTGCAGCTATGTCTAACAGTGTTAGTTTTCATAAAGTGGAAACTTTCTGTTGATCTTAATCTTGCTTTCTTAAGATACTATTTCATACTATTATAAACATCACACCTAAGATGACAGCTTTATGAAGAAAGAAGAAACAAGTGTTCAATTTCAAATGCTCATAAGAAATTGTTTCAAAGGTTTTGTCTCCCATAATAAGCAGCGGTCTCTGGAAATCCCTAAGTGTTGTGAAAATCATCCATGTCTTGACCCTTTTTGTGTTCCTGCCATGAAGTATATTGAAAACCACTACTGACACGACTGTAGTCTCTGTAAGAGAGGTTGACAAAACATACCAGGACACATCCCAATTCCTTCTCTGTGGAACCTGCCACGTACTGAACAGCCATAAACTCTTTAGAGGCCCTGGTCAGCAGCATGGGCTCATATATGTTATTAGCTAATATAGAAAGTCCTTCAGATGTTAAATACAGGACAGTTAAGATTGTAATTAAACCAAAAGGTTTTAGCACTGCTTCAGGATGCATTCAAAGGTACAAGCTGTCCCAACTCAACTCCAATACATACAGCCCATTTTTCCATCAGAGGGTTTCAGCAGACAGAGCATCTCCACGACCCAACAGACTGTGTGAATCTTCCATTCAGTATCCAGTCTGTGAAAAAAAACTATTTGAGGCAGACTTGCCAGCTCAGACAGTGTTGTACCAAACTGGCTTGGACTGGAACCTCAAGATCTCAGCCCTTAAAACCCTTCTAGACTGTCAGCTAAGAACTAAGTGAACACCGCGGTGTACAGCTGTTTATTTGACTGAAGACTTCTCACAGCAGTGTTCAACTAAAAGGCTTACAGAAATGTTTTTCACCAGTGTTTCTCCAGCTACTAAAGTTTCCATAAACCTAAAACTTATTAAGTTGCTAATTTCCACTTTCTTTTCTCTCCTATTTCTCAAGTAGTAGGCATAGCTATGCAATCTTTTATTGTGAAGTGAACACTTTTACTTTAGTACAGGCTGATGTAGTAATAATCACTTGTTACAGCAGTATTTACTGTAGCTTTGGGGTCCACTACACTTCTACAATTACACTGTGGTGACACAAATAACCATTGTGGAGCCTATTAGATCTAAATAACTTTGTGTACACATTAACATAGATACTTCATGCACTACAAATATGTTGTTTTATTAAGCTATAGGAGAAAGCACCTGACAGAGGTAAATATGGGTTTAATAAAATCAACCTGAAGCAGGTTTTTTCCAAAGAGGTCAAAAAGTTTCTTCTCTCTGACATTAATTCTGCCAAGTATTTCAGGTCTTCCCTTCCATTAGAGGGAGCTGAGGATACCCAGCATTTTGGATTATCAGATCTATAAATGAGTATTCACAAGTAACTCATTAACCAACAAAACAGATCCTTGGGAATCAGAGTTATGCTCTAAAAAAATTTGTAACTGAAATTACAATTTAAAACAAGCAAACAAAAAGAAAAACCACAGACAAACAAAAAGACCCAGTGAAACAAGCAAACAAAGGGAAAGAAAAAACCAACAAAAAAAACCACACCACTTCATTTAGACTCTTAGAGAAATGGGCATTTCTTTTTTCCCCAAAAGGAAACTACTATGAAAGTATGTTGCTCACATTAGAGTACTGAAGTACAGAAAATATATTTTAAAATTCAGCCTTGATATACTAGCACAAGATATTTCAACATAAGCAGTATCACATGTAAACAATCGTATAAACCAAATTGATTTAATTTAAGCTGCAGCGAAATTCTCTTAGACCTTCTGCTGGCACACTAAAGGGTCTGCATCAGATATTCTGTGACAGCAGCTTGGCATATCACACTCGAGTGAAAATGTGACACCCTACACTTACACATGGAAAAAAATTAAAAAGCTTTAAAGTGCTTGCCATTTAATGTATAATAGAAAATACTTGTACTAAGTACCCATAGGTTTCCTGAGAAATCATTTTGGATTTCAAAATCCCAAGGAGATGAATTGGCTGTCAGATAACAATGTGCCTTCATCAGATGGACTTGGCAGTTGTAAACAAGAAGAATTTTCTCAGCTTTTCCCCACAAATATGAAATATTTGCTCTTAGCCAACAGCTGGGGCAGTTTAAAGACATTCTGCATATATATTCAAATTACAAGTCACCCACACACCTAACACGAATTGAATTCCAGCCAGCAAGTTAAAGAAACTGACAAGCGTTGGAGCAGATGTAATGTAACGCTGAAGACAAAATATAAACTGACTTTGTAGGTCTAAATAACTAAACTTTCAAATAGCATAGTTTGCCTGCTGAAGGGTGAACAAACATAACCCACAAAAGTAGTCACAATTATCACTATTTCTCTTCAGAACTAGTATCTTATGAAAATGGAAAATATCTGTTGTTTTCCAATTATCAGGGAAAACCAAAGAAAAATGGAAAAACGTAATGGCAAAATACAAAACACATCAGACAAGTAAGTTTTAAAAACTGAAGTTCATTTTTCTCTGGTACAACAGTTCTATACTTCAGAAATGTGAACAGTAAATGCCTTGATATTATGACACAAGTTAAAAAGTTTGTTGAAATCTGACAATAAATCAGATAGCAGCATCATACTTTGATACAATTAAGAAATAAGGCTGCTGACAAACTGTTTTAAAACTTTGTAACCACTTGGTATCTCAGTGTTAAACCACATTCACAGTGAAAGTGTGGATCTTTTAATGTTTGTTCATGTTTCATACATGTGTATTTACTTTTGCAATATGAACTACACTGTTTAATTTTTTTTATCCAGACACCATAAACAAATTTAGGAATGTTTATATATTATTCCAATATATCCCACAGCAGGAGAAGCTAATCTAAAACTCTATACTTTGTGCAAAGTTGGAAACACATTGTAAAAAAGCATTGTATTAGATGTTTTAATATGACTTAGAAATGCACAGCCAGTTTTTCTTTTTTTCAAAGAGCAATCAATCTCATTAAAATTTATGAAAAAAAATTTACTATATAATAACACTCTCATTTTTTAGGTCAAAATGTTACTTGGGCTTATTTGAAAAAGKGAGGTAATTATCTCAAGTACATAATATTTCAGATATTATAGAAATATCATAATTCCACTGGTGGTTACTAAGTCTCTTGAATAGTTTTGTCTAAATGACCAACCTAACCATAATGGTTTGTGGGGGTTTTTGTTTTAAACACACAGCAGCTGTGGATAAAAAGCAACTATAATAAGACAAACCATGTTCAGACCAGTGCTACTTTTCAATGAAGTAAAGCAGAAATACTTTATAAAAAGTTAGAGCAGCAGCAAATGAAACACTAAAGACCTCAGAGGCATGCTTAAAGAAAAGATGATATAATGAAAACGCAACTAAGATGCCTTATAATGAAGACATGACTCAAGTTGCACAGAACGTATATATTAATACTTTCCAGGCTCCACAGTGAAACTTTGTCCAACAATCACCATCTTGCCTTTAACAACTCAGATGTCCCAAGTCGGATAACACATTTAAAAAAAAAATCATTTGAAGTGTAACAAAATAAGAAGGCACATACTGAAAACTAGTTTGGGAATTATTCATTTTCGAGGCCCCACTGCAACCAAGCAGGTGTTTGTATTTCAGCTTCACCAGATAAGGTCCTCTAAACTCTGCTCCATCTTCTCCCCCTACAGTACTCTTTTTTTTTTTTAATCCAATTTCAAATTATTTTTAAAAACTAACAGTTCATATTTTTTCTAAGCCTTTGCAAAAGTGTTCATCAAATAAAAAATAGAGCAGAATTCAATTACTGCTACGTAACAAGACAACACTTTATAGCCAGCAGTTACTTCCAATAAGATATTGCATAAAACATCCAACATCTAACAGTAACACTTAACATTATGGGTCAGAGAACAGGCTTCTTTTGGTGCATTTGTGTTTTCAAAAGTCTTGTGTACTCAAGATTAAAGTGAAAAAATATGATAGCATTCAAACTATTTCCTACAGGACTATTACAGTCTGCACTTTGAATCCGGACTGCTCGTGAATGCTCCCCCCTCAGCCGAGTCCCTTATATACTGCTCGAAAATTTCTCACTTCTCTTGTGTAAGGCTAGAAGGCCCAAGTTTWAAAAAAAAATTAAAAGTCTGAAGCCTGAGTACCTTAACACACAATTAATTTGACCCCCCAAAAGCTGAGACTTTTAGAATTAAAAATACTTACAGCCTCTCCAGCTCTTTTAAATCCTGGAATGCTCCTCTCTCAATAGTACTAATCTTGTTCTCCATGAGCTGACTGAAATATAGAAATTTTTATATGTAAATCTTAATATCTCTGAGATAACTTGCTGCATTCACAATGATCATTTAAAGGCACCCACATATTCTTTAAAACAATACACCAGCTATTCTAGAGTGACATCCACTTTAACCTTCTGTCTCCCTGTCATCGACAATTTACTTGGGCTCATATACCCAAAAGAAGGAAAATAAGCTTTGGTAAAAGAAACAGGAATTGATATTACATTTGCTCATTTACTTAAGGAGTCCAAAATTAAAAAGCTACACATGTGCCTACACGCTGTGTGCCCACACATCACTGCCCTTCAGCCAGTTATAAGACTGCAGTCAAACAGTATGAAGGTGACATTAGTCTCACGTGAGAATAACAAAACTAAAACACTGAATCATAGTGTTGGAGAAACACCACTGAAAAAGTGCACAGAGATTGTAACATAACAGTATGTTTTCTTGTAAAAAAAATTTAAATTACTACAATATTGTATTTATTTCAGAGGGAAAAAGATTTTACAAGACTACTTGCTCAAATTAAGCCAGCCTGAATAAATAAGCTAACTAGTTAGAGATTTCCCTCAGAAAAACAAAACCAAAAAAAACCCACAAAAAAAAAAACCATCAAGTTTTAAAACCTCTATAATGCTTTAAAAAAATGGTTAAAAACAAATAAACAAAAACCCACCCAAATAAACCAACCAAACGATGCCTTCCTCAGATTCACTGGTGAAGTGTTTCCTTTTCGTCCAGAAGCTACTGGACAATAAAAGCAATAATAATCACCCAGGACTTGCTTTTACATTCATTAAAGGAATAACTCTTTTCTTAATTAATTCCCTAATAGTTCTGTCTGAAAGTACCCATTTTCAGTGTGAAATATAAATTTCATAGCCTTAAACTGAAGTAACTCCAACGGTTATTCAATCAATTTTAGCAAGTCCTACTTGTAAGCTATGTGCTAAATTAAATCCTGAAAATCTCAGTCTTAAGGGGAGATTAAAAAACTTTAAACAAATTATATTTAAGGGAATTAGTAGCTGTTGCATAACAGTGTATAACACGTGGAAGAGTGGTTTTAAGTTCAGATATGGTAATACAATAGTTAAAAAGTGATAACCCAGACAGCTAATGAACTGGAAGGTAACTGCAACCTGTAGCATCAGTCCTAAAAGTTATCAATGAGAGAAAGAGAAAACTTACAGAACTCGAAGGTGCCTTAGACCAGCAAAGTCRGTCTTCGTGATTCTTGTGATGTTATTTCCATTAAGATCCCTAAGAAGAATAATTGTAAGCAGCAAAATTAAAACATTCAAAATCTAAATATAGATTGTTTTATCTGTTTTCACAGGCACAGCAATTTCAGAAGTTAGGAGACATAAATGAAGGCAATGAACCATTCCTACAATTAACACCCTGCGAGTTCCTGACTTCCAAGCTACTGAACTAAGTTTTATCTTAGAACCAATGGTTTGAAACTTTGTAACAGTAGAGTCTTGGAAAGTCAGTTCTACCAGACATTACAAGGCTCTTGTTTATCTTTAAATAGAATCTTTAACAATAGAAGAGCCCAAAGCTCTCTGAGTATGTTTATAATTGCACTTAGAAAACCACTAAGCTTACTACATTTAGGTATATCTATATATATGCTACAACCTTTATTTGCTCTTACAAAAACTAAGTGGCTTAAATAAAGACAAATTTCACTATTTCAAGCAATTTTCAGATTTTCTAATATGGCTAAAAAGGCAGCGTAGGGTTTAATGATCTACAACAAATGTGAAGTTTCAAACAAGCATTAACACTGCTGGAGTAAGTGATGGGAAATAAGATTTTACCAAAACTAAGCTTTCCACTTGCTGCACAGGAAGCTATGCTGACTGCATGTTCAGAAGCAATGGAAACCTGTAATTAGGCCCTAGCAGTTCTGATCATACTTTATACCACTTCTTCTTCTGAAGTATATGCCACTTTTTCATAACTTTTTGCGTTTAAGACATAAATGTCTTTCAATTCCAATCACGACAAATAAAACCAGATTTGGCAATTCATGAGATAAACCATCAGGAAGTGGTATTACATGGAAGCTATTCTAACAATTACAGCTCATTCCAAACGCAGCTAGGGTAAAAAAAAAAAAAAAAAGTAGTATTTTTTTAGTGTTTTATACCACATATGGCCAAAATACCACTGTAAAGAAACCACACTAGTCTCAGGAGAAACGTGTCTCTGATACTCTTCCTGAGTGAAATTCACCAGTCCAGACGCATGTTCACATGCCAACATTTAAATGACTTATCAGAGAGTAAGAAATAATGCGCACACCACAGGACCCCTGTGAAAGGCAGCCTGATATGATAAAGAACCGACCACATGTAGAAAACAGCCGAGCCGCGGGATACGCAAATGGAAAGAGGGATCACCGTTATGGCACGACTTAGAGCCCTGCGAGCGCGGCTACCGCACCCCGGCGTGCCCTCGCCCAGCGGCAGATGCGCCCCCGCCCGCCCCTCCGCGCCGGCCACCGCGGCTCCGCGGCGGGAGGGAGCGCTGCGCGCCCCGGGGCCTCCCTGCCCACGGCCGCGGCCCTGCCCACGGCCGCGGAGCGCGGCGGGGCCGCGGCCCGGCTCTGCCCCGGGGAAGGCGAGCCGTAATAGCCAAGTTTGACGGGAAATGGGCGCCGGCGGGGGGAGAGGCCGCTCCGCCGCCGCCTCGGGGCGCTCCCCTGGCCTTGGTGGTGCCCGCCCCCGCTCCCCGCGGAGGCGGGAACCGCGCTGCTCACCGCGGCTTCCCGGGATGAAAGGCAGCGGCTGGGAGCAGCGCCCACCTCTTCCGTGACTCCGCGCATCGCTGTGAAATGGGCACGGCCAGCGCCAGGAGAAGGGAACAGAAGCCCCCCACCCAAAGGGCGTCGGGACCCCAAACCGGGCCGGCGCCGGGGGCCACCTCAGCCCGACAGCCGGCGGGAGCCCTGAAGGRAGCCGGGGCCCGAGGGGGGTTCGCCGCCCCGGCCGGGTTACTTACAGCCTCTCGGTGTTGCGGGGGATGTTCCTCGGGACGCCGCGCAGCGCCAGCCCGTGACAGTCCACGGTGCTCCCCGAGCAGGAGCACTGCGCCGGGCACGGCTGCGGCGCCACCGCGCCCGCCATCGCCAGCAGCAGCCCCAGGGACAGGGTGAGCTTCCCCCAGCCGCACATCATCACCGTCCGCTGCAGCCCAGCCGGGCCCACCGGCCTCGGCCCCGGGGAGGCGCGGGGCGCGCCGCCCTCCTCCTCGCCGCGGGGAGCGCTCGGGCAACTTTCAGGGTGCGGAGACAGCGAAGTCCGTTCTATCCAAAGCCAAGTCAAGAAAACAACCCCGGCAAAGTGAGGCGGGTGGCACCGGTCCGCGGCTGAAGGCAACTCCGCTGGGCGCGGGGCTGGGCCCGGGCCGACCCTTGCTAGCCCGTCGGTGGCGGGGAGAAGCGGCACTCGGTCTGGTCTTCACRCGCTCCCTGCGATGGCGAAGCAAACCCAGGGGCTCGGGTGCGGCGGAGTTGGGCGAGCTACTTATCTTCCTCCTCGCCCGTATCAAAGCCGTGACTCCCCGCTGAGCCCCCGGCGAGAGGCCGCGGAGCCCCGTCCGCCCCAGCAGCGCTTCCTGCGCGCCGGCCCGCGCAGCGCCTCAGCCGCTCCCACGCGCGTCCCCCGCCGCGGGCCGCTCACAGCCCCACGGGGGGCGGCGGCGGGGCTGACACCGCGCACACACCGCCCTGCCAGAGGCGCCTCAGCAAATCATACCCCTCTCGCAGGCATTCATCAAACTGTCTCACGGAAGGAGGAGGGAGGGGAAAAAAAAAAAGTCAAACACACAAGATGCTTTTGGGCTTGGCTCTCCACCCCCCGCGCCCCCTCCTGCTGTACGCTCCCAAGCCAAGTTTAGCAGGAAAGGGCTGGTCCTAGAACACGATAATAATAAGCAGTCGAGAAGTGATTCGTTGCCCTGCTGGAAGGGAGTTCATCCACGACCTTCTCCTCGGTGACAGATCACAGTTATAGATCCTCCTGTGATCCCGGGAGCACGGCGAGACAGAGCAGATAGCAAGCGATGTGCGGCGAGAGCGGGAGGGGCGGGGAGGGGTGTTACTCTGCTCCCCGTGGTCTCCCGGATACCGTGGCTTTGCTGCAGCAAAGGCACCTGATGGGAAAGGTGGGAACTGCTCAGTCCTTCCAGGTGAGGCCAGTTCAGCAGCTCCTGAGCTCGCTGCAGGAAAGGAAGCAACTTTCCTCCTCTCCCAGAGACCCCGAGGCACAGCGCTTCGGGAAGGGTTGGCGCCTCTTTCCCCAATCCCGCCGGTGCACCTGAGCTGTCGGTGCTGGTGCCGAACAGCCCGGCCCTCGGCTCCCTGGCGGCGGCGCTCCTCCGGCGCGGAGGGAAACGGCAGAGGGGGGCGGTGGGGAGCGGGAGAATGGAGGCGACACGCCGGGCTCCTTCCCTCGCACCCCGAGTCTTTCCGCTTGAACAATGGGATAGCACCGCCGCTCGCAGGCCGGCCGGCTCTCCTCCCCGCCGCAAGGTGCCTGCCGCCGACCGCCGAAAGTGCCCCCCGAGAGCAGCCAGCAGCAGCCAGCCGAACGAGCCGCCGGCACCTCGCCGAGAGC